TTCTTTTCAGGGATTTCTCCTGGCCACGGGAGTGACCTGTGCCTACTCAAAAGAAGGCGGGAAGATTCTGATCATTTTCAGTTTCGCAACCTGGCCCTGTACCCCAGGGTAGCCTACATCCTTTTTTGCCCTTTTTCAAATTTTTAATGTTTTACTGCGTGATGCCACAATACCAGAACAGTCAGAAGGTAATGTGGGGAGCAAGTAAAATTCTAGCTTAAGCACAGTTACACGAGTCGAACCAAATATCCAAACCTGAAGAGTAGATAAGCCTGAGATGACTTACCTCTCTTCTTTTATGCAACCATACTGTTTTTCTCCTGCTCAAAACATTTTTAATGCTGATGAATACTCTGCAGGGAAGGGAGGAACAGACAGCAATATGCCCACAGGGCCCAAGTTCACAAGTTGCTTCTTATCTGTAGCCACTCTCTTTTTTTTCCTGGCAAGAGTTTTAAATAACTCTAAGCAAGCATTTTATAAAGATCACACTGTCTGAGGCGTTCATGAAAAATATGAAGACTTAAACAGTAAATCTACAAGCACGACAAGAAGGGAAAAAAGGCAGATAAAACATGTTGGCTCAGCATGATCTGAAATAGATTAGAGAAAGACAGACTGCCAATGCACATTGAATGAAATTCTCAGAACTTGTTACCTTCTTGCTGTCCTCCTCTGATCAATAAATTCAAGCAATTCCATTAGTCTGTTAATTCACTTAATTAAATAATATCGAGCATTACTAACCATAATGAATGAGGCTGGTTATACAGCTCTGAATCAAAGAATGCAATACATGAGATCATCCTTTTTGTCTGACTACATTTTTCACAACTCAGTTTTATGATTAGAGACTTCAAACTCTAAATCAAGTATGGAAACTCAGATATGGACAGCTATTTATTTAAACTCTTCTCTGTTAAAAAAAAAAAAAGTTGTTTAAATAAGCAAAATGTTTCTTATCAGTGATGTACTTTATTTGCTCAGTCAACCCTAGAATAAGCTTGCTGTTTGCACCGCACCATCATACTCTTTCAAGACTGTAAATTCCACAAACGGCCAGAAGTGTACTGTGCCAGAATATGATCAGTCACTGAGAATTTGTACTGGCTTCTAATATGTATTATTTGATACACACTTTGCTGGGTGAAGATTATATAGAATCCATAAACCCAACAAAATTCTCTCCACTTTATTAGTGAAATTTCACAAAAGCTAATCTCATGTTCACAAAGGTTTGTTTTTGGACATCTGGAGTGAAATTCCTGCCAGGTTGATCAAATTCTTTCAAATAGACTGACCTGCTATGTTTAGTTTAAAAGTTGTATTTCAATATTTTTGTGACAAAAATATTCAGTATCTTCAGCATTATGCTCTGTTTTATATAAAGATTTTATTACATAGAAGTCAAAAATAGTCCAAAGCCTAAGTAAATTGTACAGAAAACAATACTCTTGTAGACTACATAAACTGGAAGGAGGTAGCTGAGGTTCATCTTTTTTCCTAGATATACTTAGAATGGCAGATGTGACAGGTAACACTAGACGACACTTTATATGACAGCTAGTCACATTGTCATTGTTTCCTTTCTATTTTTATTCACAGATTACAGAGGAAATTAGAGTTTAATGATCCAGACTGCATTCTGTCAGTAGAAGTATGGTTTCAAGCGTTTTGAATGTCAGTGTTGGAATTAACCAGCTTTACTGAGTGAGAAAGACTAAAAACTTTCAGCACTCTTTGATAAATTGTCTTGAAAAATATGAGATACATAGATAATTCCCCATTAAATACTTCCATATTGAATAGATCTGATTAATACTCTACAGAGTTCTTTGATGATGCTAGACCACTTCCAGTTTATACAAATAAAAAAAAACCCTTCCTAGGTTAGAATGTAAATTTCATTTATTCTACTATTAATTTTTTTTTTTTAATTAATTTTGGCTCGGTCCTTTAAATTTCTTCATTTTATTCTATAACATTTATGGACCTCAGAGTTACGTAAATAAAGGACAATGAAATTTCTCATCTCTTAAACGATTAATAGCAGCTGTAACATTCATGTCTTTGTGAAGAAGAGGATAAAATGGTAGAAGTATTAAAATTTTAAAACAAGTTCAAAGAAAAACTGCTAATTACTTTTAAAGAGAGTTGATTTTCAAGTTATATGAACTTGCAAACATCAAGAATATTAAAGCTGATACAGCAAAGACAAGGTCTGGAGTTGTTCTACACTGCAGCCACTGTGAATACCATGTCTTTTTGTTGGAGCAAGTCCACATTGAAGAAAAACTGAATTCCTAAGGGAGTTTTAAAGATTAACATTAAGGACTTTGAAAAGTGCGAAGTTGAGACTCATTAAAATATTTAATTGTATTTAAATCTGGCTCAGTCATGACCAAAAGTTGTTATAATTTGAAGGTTGTTCAGTAGCATATGTTGAAATTACTCTAAGTCAATTCCCTAATTAGATGTCAACATAAAAAGACATCGCTACAGCCAATACCACTGTTGGCAAGTTCAGCAGCCAGGGCAGAGACTAAATAAATATGGAAAATGTACTACCCTCCTATAAGGACTAGGGTGAGTCTTTTTAAGTAGGCACTTTGGAGAGTGTTATGCCACACTAATTTATTCTAAGAGTAAACTGAAGAGTTCTCACTCCTGTTAACAGAACAAAAGTATGGAAGAAGAAACTATCTTCAATTCACTGCAATTAAATTAACTCTGCAGTGTTGGAGTTTTTCCTGAATGATTCTTTGCATTCATTTCTGATTTTCATTTATTGTTTCTTTTCATTTTCAAATGGAAATCTTAAGTTAATTATACAGTTGTTTAGATATACTGAAACTCTAGGAAACTACCCAATTTTAGTTGTCTCATGTAAAACATACTGAAAACATTTTAGAAGGGCGTATGTAGGATTATGAAAATATATATGTATACATGTAATAGGATATCAATGAAAAATATCATAATTTAAGAAAATTTTCCACAAACAGAACAAAAGACATAGGCCACTCCTCTTACAGGTGACAAATTTCATACATATATAACAACATAAAAGCTTCTGCAAGTCAGTGTTCATTTAGCCTGTACTGCATCTCCAATAGTTGTCAATGTTGGGTATTTCAAACACAGCATTGAAACCCACACAACATTGTTTTATGAGGAAATACTGTTCCTACTCTGATTGGGAGCTAAACTTCCATTCCCCTGTCCTCACTAAACTGAACTTCTTTCAAAATGCTCCTCTAAGTCATTGGGTCCTCTTGTGGCACGAGGTATTATTAGAGGTGACACTGATTATTCACCTCTGCCCTGAAACATTAAGTAGTCATTAGAACTTTGAATTTTTACCAGTCTGTCACACATTACTAAAGATGTTATGGAAAAAAGTTAACAAAAATAGAACAATTCCTTGTTCTTTCCCAGCAGAGACACACCCCAGATTGAATGGAGTAAGCACCTATGGAAGAAACTCAGTAAACACATTTTTGTGGTCAGACATGTGATGTTGGCAAGATTAAAATCATGCTGTTCAAAGAAGGAAGGAGGCCTGCTCACGTGGGACACTGTGGCTGACATTAAAGGAATTCGAGTTTATATACACAGTATTTTGATGTCGAACAATACAAGTGTGGATATTTTGCCTAATTCAGCAATAGTGATACAACCATTGGTTAGTTTTATATGGGAACAGAAGAATTAAACCATCCCTTCTGTATAATGAGAGTCAGGTGGAAAAAAAAGATGACCCAAAACATAGCACTATTATGATATGTGCTTCTGAAACACATTAGTCCCTTGAGAGAAAAAAATTAAGTGGCTTCTGGAGAATATTTTCTACTGCACAATTTTTAAAGCTTTGCCAACATGAAACGTGCCCAGTAGGTTGAGGGAGGTGATTCTCCCCCTCTACTCTACTCTCATGAGACCCCACGTCGAGCGTCCAGCTCTGGGGTCCCCAGTACAAGACAAACATGGAGCTGTTGGAGCGAGTCCTGAAGATGATCAGAAGGCTGTAGCACCTCTCCTGTGAAGACAGGCTGAGAGAGTTGGGATTGGTCAGCCTGGAGAAGAGAAGGCTCCGGGGAGACCTTACAGCAGCCTTCCAGTACTTAAAGGGGCCTACAAGAAAGCTGGAGAGGGACTGTTTACAAGGGCATGGAGTGACAGCACAAATGGGCAAGAGCTTTAAGCTGAAGGAGGGGAGATTTAGATGAGATCTGAAGAAGAAATTCTTCCCCGTGAGGGCGGTGATGCACTGGCACAGGTTGCCCAGAGAAGTTGTGGATGCCCCATCCCTGGAAGTGTTCAAGGCCAGGTTGGATGGGGCTTTGGGCAACCTGGTCTAGTGGAGGGTGTCCCTGCCCATGGCAGGGGGGTTGGAACTAGGTGGGCTTTAAGGTGTCTTCAAACCCAAACCAGTCTGTGATTCTATAAACATTAGGACTTTCTATTCTTCTGTCTGCAATGTGTGAATATGTAGCTGGAGCTGGGGAGCTGCCGGAGGCCTCTCTCACCCATCTCCCTCTCTTTTTAGCTGATCTCTCTCACAAACTGACTTGAATAAAGAGATGGACCCTTATCTACTCAGTTCCTTCCCTCCACGAATACCTACATAAAATTCCACCTTTAAGATCCTCTACAAATTAATTATTCCCCACTACTACCACAAACACCAAGGTTTCATGCATAAAAAGCCATGCAAGTAGAACAATTCAAGTGAAAAATAAGAGGAAGTTAAAATATAATTGTACGGATAGCCATCTGCTTCCCCAGATCAAATATGTTGAGTCTGAAGGAGAAGACTTCTTTTTTTTTGGTATGTTCTACAAATGTCATGTAGAATCTACACTATTACTGATTGCCAAGGTGTTACGTGCATGAGATCTGCAATTCCCAAGTACCAAAAGAATTTTCAATGCAGAAAGAACCATCAGCAGACACTTCTCTGGCTAAAGGGAGTCTGAGTTAAGTCAAATTCTACTCACCACTGTTAAATGTTCCAGCAAGTATGCCACATCAACCATGTCTGCCAGAATTAGAAGCCTTGTGACAGCTGTAAGCAGAGATCGTGCTGCTTGGACAACAGCCTGCCTCTTAGGCAGATAGCAGGGATCGCTGGTAAATGCCTCTGCTGATACCTTTAAGGCTTGACCTGCAAAATGAAGACATAAATTCCTTCAGGCTATATCACAACGTCCAGGGAAAAAAAATAGTTAAAACTCAATCAGTTATTTGGCAAGTCACAAGTATTGCCAATAAATTTGGTATCTCTGTTGCCCTAATGCCTTGAAATGAAGGTCAATGATTACAGATCATGCAGAATGTTCCACATTTTGAATGATGTTCCCTTTCTGTTCTTCTGAATCATGTAATTCTGAAATAATTCCCTTTGCAATCACACCATTACTCTTAACTGTACACAATGAGGCCAGGGGCACTATGTTAAACCTTTCTAGTCACTGCTTTTTATATTACTATGTACTTTGCTGTCCTTGCTATTAAATAATTCCTGGTCACAGAAGGGAATCAAATATTGTTCTTTTCATTATAAGTTAATGGAATTAAAATCTCATACACTTGAACATCTGACTCTGGCATAAAATATGTGAAATGTATGCAATGGAGCTAGTAACTGTGCCAGCAGACAACAATATACTGCTCTCCAACAAGCAAATGAAATTTAACAGTAAGAACAACGACAAACACCCAAGTTTACTTTCAGCAGTCTGTCACCTAGACTTACTCTGAGAAAAAAAAAATGCTATTACACTCGTTTCGAAAGCATTTCAAAGTCTTTTATTACCTGAGGAGCCTTGCTAATGAATGCACAACCTTGAGAGAATTCTACACAGAACAGCTCCGGAAAACTCTTCTCACACAAGCACAAACTGCTAAAATTAACGTTTGACCCATTAAACTCTTCTATATCAGCTAGGAAACCAAAGATGGATAAAAAGTCACAAAAATTAATAGTTTTAGCTGTACTAAAATTAGCAAACATCATTAGTAAATGTAGCTATTAAAAGACTACATATTCATGAAGCCAGCCCTTTGTTGACAACTGCCTTAAGCAAGTCTTGGATTTTGGATGCAACAGTAAACAAAAATATGTCATTTAAAAAATTTGATATTGCTCCAGAGTTAAATCTTTTGTTTATTACGCAATATTCTTTCTACTTATATCTAAATTACCTAAGTCTTGATATAAGAATGGGGTATGTTTCTCCAAGCAGTCATTTGTATCGCAGTTTTTCTACATAGAGAGTACAGGAACATGTAATTTTTGTTTCATTTTGTTCTACAAATTCTGACCAAAAGTGAAGAGAGAATATTGCCTGCTGAAATAAAATTCACAGTACCCATAGCTTCACTCAAAGGCAAGCCTCCTGCAGGAACACTATTGGCACGTCTACTTCAGAGTATCTGGTAATAAAGTCAAAGCTAAAGTTATGCAGAGTTTTTCTACCTGAACCAAGTATGTGTTTTTCTAAGCTTTGGAGTCCTCAAATCAAAAACTGGGTAACAAGGTTTGTACAAAATACATACAATCAGTAATTAATGCATATTTATAGAAATATATATAAACATAAGGGATTTCCTGTAATTACATACATATAGACTTTTATGTGCTCCCTCAATCAGAAATAAACAAGAACTAATCAAAGTGCACTAGAGTTTGCCAGTTCTGTATGTGACTTCATTTCTCAAGATTCAGAGAAAAAATAAGTTTTACCACTCTTACTAGAAACTGCATTTGAGAAAAATATTGAGCAAAGGCTACAGAAATAAACCTACCAATTACTACAAAGTCCCCATACCAGCACCTGAGATAGTACTGGCCTGATTCTCAGAACACTGAATACTTCCAATGTGCTGAAACTCATCAGTTGTCCGGGAACACTCATCTTTAATAGCATGCTCTGGTTTTCTCTTGGATTTGCTAAAGTCTTTGTGCAAATCATGTATCTTAAGTACATGCTTAGCAAACTCCATAAATAAATACAAATCACACTAACCTGAGATCTGGTTCTAGCACCTGCTACCTCACAAAACAGTGAAAGTAAAAAATATCAACTTCTTGTGCTCAGGACAGCAAATGAGAACTTTTCTGTAGTAGTTGGTGAGATAATGCACCATAGCTGAGCACACAAATAAAAATACCATAAATAAAATTCAAACAATCAGAAGACTGATTTTTTTTTTTTTTATTTCTGCATCTGCAATGGGCAGAAACACCTCTCCAGATGAGTACTGTTTTCAGTACTACAAGTTTCAAAGCACTAATTTGAGCCCAGTAATCCTTGGGGGGG